TGTGATTCAGATTGAATCCGAAACAAATTTAGACTTAGTCTCATTGTTGAAGTTCTAGCCTTCTGGTGTCATCGCACTTGCGAAAGGATTTGCCGCAGGTGCAGACTCGCAAATGCGAGTGGTGAAGAGCTGAAGAGAAATGAGTCAGCCCAGGTCTGGGCTTGTAGGTGCGAACACCTGGGTGCGAGCAATTGTTCGCAGAAGCGGAACCGCATGATTTAAGTCAGAACCGCACCTGCGATAGATTTTTCGCAGGTGGGCCATCGCAGAAGCGACTGAGTGACTGCAGATGTAGAATAACTTAGTAGAAAAAGCCTAATTTCGAGAGTTTGATCTCATTTTTATATATTTTTGGACCTAGAGAGTTCGGTTTGTGGCGATTTCGAGAGATTTTCAAAGAAATCATTGGGATTAGACATTCTAACTCAGTTTTGGTTAAATTACACAAATCTATTGTTATTTTCATCATTTAATTAATTATTTGAGTTGGAAATTTGAGGAAAAATTGTGAAAACTTCTTAGGCTAAAATTTGGTGCTTTGAAAGGCGATTTGAGTAGTTCTTGTATGGTCGGACTCATTATTGAATGTGTATTCAGCTTTTATAATTTTGGTCGGGTTCCAAGTGCCGAACAGAGCTGCTACAAAGGAGCCATCAGTAGCTCTAGTTGGGGGGCAGGCACCTGAGATGCTTGTTACTGCCCCTGCACTTCAAGAGACCCTCGCCCTATTTTTGAGCATGTTTGTCACTCTAGCTCTAGTAGAGTTGATTCCACTTGCTCCTGCCACATCTCAGGCAGGGGGAAGAGCACAGACTCTCGCAGCCCATACCCTAGAGCAACGGGTTCAGGTTAACCAGGTCCCAGAGGTTATACTAGTGTAACCGACTGTCCCAGTTCAACTCGAGGTTAGGGCAACACCGTCTGAGGGGGAGTAGCTCAGGCTTGAGAGGTACATAAAGTACCACCCTCCTACTTTCATCGGTTTTGGCTTTGGAGGACGTACATGATTTTTTTGGAGTGCCACCGTATCCTCCATACTATAGGTATTGTGGAGTCAAGTGGGGTTGCTTTCACTACGTTCCAACTTAAGGGAACAACTTATCAGTGGTGGCGAGCATATGAGTTGGGTATCCCGGCCGAGGAAACTTCACTCACCTGGGCTCAGTTCTTAGAGATGTTCGTTAGGGAGTTTGTTCTGCAGATTAGGGATGCATGACGCCCAGAGTTTGAGCAGTTGCGCCAGGGTGCTATGACCGTATCAGAGTATGAGTCCGGTTCAGTGAGTTGTCCAGACATGCACCTGCATTAATTTCCACTGTGAGAGAGTGAGTTTGTCGATTTATCGGAGGCTCAATCCTGGTATTAGATTCACCATGCTCGAGTGTTGGAGACTGATACCCCATACCTGCAGGTAGTGGAGATCGCTAGGAGATTGGAGGGTATGTGGCCATAGTACATATCACCAAATTGCTCCCCATATTATTCATGGAAGCTATGACAAGTATTAATTATCGAAATATTCCATAATATCTTTAATGGTGGAGACCCCATGATAACCTCATTCTTTATTTTTTTTGGACAATGCAAACTTTATGACACAATGTCTACAACATCTTTCAATGTCCTAAAGTTCACTTTTAGCCGTACAAACTTCAGAAAATAGTGTCTTGAAATTCATTTGTAGTATGAAAATATTAGGACATAAAATTCTAAAGTTTACTTGTCTAAGTGCAAATTTCAAGACATAGTGTTCTAAGTTTGTATTGCAAAATTTCAGGATGCAACATTCTAAAGTTTATATGTAACAATGCAAACTCCAGAACATTATGTCTTGAAATTCAAATGTATAAATACAAACTCTATAATTCAAATTTCAGGAATTGTAAAAAGTTTGAACTTTAGGACATAAAGAAAACCTATGATGAAAACTATGGAAAAAATCATAATACAAAGATACACAATCCAATTGATAAAGAAAAAACCAATTGACTAATAATAAAATGGCAGCAATATGCTACTCCCAAAATCCAAAACCCAAAAACTAAAAGCCGCACAAGACCAATATAACTACACTTTAGCTACGTAAGAGAATTTACATACAACTTTTTTACAATACGGGAAGAATGGTGCTTTTTCACAATTCGACCTCCGCGCATAACATCACAATTTCGATACAGCATAGTATATACACCCACAAGTGCAACAATGTGATCATACATATACGAAGGTACTTTCTTCGAACACTTAAATTTCCAAACGTTGTTAACCTTGTTTCCTTTCTTAGGAATGGATTTCGCATTATAAATTAGTAGCTACGTATCTTGTCCTGTTTGTTCCATTTCGTGCTCAATAGATGCTTTAAAACATATTAAAGTAAAAATTTATGCTCTTTAATATACATAATAATTGGACCAACGAATTATTCACTCGTAATCTTTTCCCTAGATCAGCCCTGCATGCATGTTGTAACCAACTTATTCCTAATTGTTTATGGAACTCAGAAGTTGGTAGTATTGTAAAATAATGTGACGAAATGGATACTTCATTTACATATGAAAAAGGATTGATGTGTTTGTTTTTTTCTGTGAGATCTTGAGTAAAACGTTTGTAGACTGTCTATTCTCTAGCTCGTGGATTAACAAAAGAATCAATTCTTATGCACCTTCATGACCCATTTCTTGGCCAGATTTGTCCCAGTTCGATAAATCCAATTATTTCAAAAAGGAATTTAATGTATATGCACGACTTAGTTTGAAACAAATCATTGCGCTATCAAGAAGTCAGGGTCCATTACTCAAATGATCACTCGACTATTCTAAATTATCTCCTAAAGTCACTTTTCTTTCGTGTGTAACAATAAAGTCACTTAACTATGCCTATTGTACTCAGAAGGTCACTCAACTAAATTTTCCAAATTTTTGATTGTCAAATACCTATTTTACCCTCTAAATTATAAACATTTATCTTCTTTTTATTTTTTTTAAATTTTTAATATTATGATATTTTCCTTTTAAATTAATATCATGAACTTACCTATAGAATAAATAAATTTTATTTATAAAGTAAAAAATTAAAAAGTATTTAAGCATATATAATGCTGGAATAATAAAATAATGAGCATAGTTAAAAAATTAATTAGAATAATTTGTTCGTAATAATAATTGTAGTGTTAACAACAAAAATTAAAAAAAATTATTTACACAATTGAGAATGAAAGAAAATAAAGGGCTTAATATATATATTTCATGCATGTAATATAAAACAAATATTTAAATAAAGGTATTTTTATAATATACATCATATATTCTTGAAAACTATGCTCAATTATATTATTATTCCGTCATTATGAGTTGAAAACTAATTTTTTATTTTTTATTTTATAAATAATATATATTTATTCTATAGATAAGTCCACAATGTAGATTAGAAAGAGAAAATTATAATATTTAAAAAGTTTTAAAAAATTGACAATTTAGAGGGTAAAATTGGTATTTGACAATTAAAATTTTGGAAAATCTAGTTGAGTGACCTTCTGAGTGCAATAGACATAGTTAAGTGACTTTGTTGTTACAAACGAAAGAAAACTGACTTTAGGAGATAATTTGGGATAATTGTAATTTGATCTAGTCCTTTAAAGTTAATAAAATTTAAATTAATAATTTGTAGATAATTAATGAACTTCTTAATACAAATACATAAACTGGATCAAAGTTATTGGATTCGGTGGGACTCATAACCCACGCACTAGCTAAGCCCTTGCTATAAGTATGGTTTAATCTATGATAGAAGATACGTTTATATTTGGACTCGTTTACCAATTAATAATTTTTATTATAAAAAATACATGTAATTACCAATTACTCCCCCTGTTCTAGTTTACGTGAACCTATTTCGTTTTTGGTCCATTCCAAAAAGAATGACCCTTTCTAAATTTGGTAACAATTTAGCTTAAACTTATAATTCTACTCTTAATGAGAAGCTTTTATAACCATACAAATACTCTGGCCCCCTTTTCGACTTGTTTAGGACCACAAATTCCAAAAGTCTTCATTTTTCCTTAAACTACATGCCTAGTCAAACAGATTCACATAAATTGAAACGGAGGGAGTAATTGACCTACTTGTGTAAATATTTTCACACCTTAGAGTGCATGGGGCATAAAAACCCGAAGGGAAAACAGATTGAAACTGATGGCACATGCACTGTTTCATAACAAGAAATTACATACTTCTTTGCTGACCCCAGAAGTTCCTACTTCCTTCATTCCTTGTATCCAAACTATAAATAATTTGTCAACTGGATTCAGCCTCACTTAACTCTCCGCATTTTTCAAATCAATTCTTTTTTCCCCTTCCATTGATTTATATTCCTTCCCAAATGGAGAAAATGAGTAATCTTCTGAATAGACCATATTATGCTTACTCAAAAATAGACAAGGAAGATCTTGAAGTGATGCAACATAGAAGAGCACAGTTCTTCATTTACAAGTCTCTACAGAAAGCAGACTCTAATAAGTCTCAGAGACAGCAGCCAACACGGTTGAAAATGAAACTGCGCAGGTTGAAGATCAAGATTGGAGGAGATTAAAGAGGACGAGGAAGAGTATCTTATTAACAATTTATGCTGCTAAAAGCTAAAGCTGTGGTCTTCAACCTATTTATTTGTCGGTTGAAATCTTTGACAGGCTATGGTTACTCTACCACCAAAGTTCACTTTGAAGTTTCCTTTTAATTCCCAAAAAGAAAATGTAGAAACAAAAAGCCGTTTGCTCACCTCCTTTCTGTGATATATTATGATTGATCAAATATTTCAGTTCTGTAGTTTGCTTTGTTGTTAGTTCTTCTCTTCTGTTATAGGAGTAGATTGCTTTGTGATGGGTTTTCAATGTCTTTATCTTATGTTTTGATGATCTAACAAACTTACTGTCAAGAACCAGATAGGGAACCTGATACACTTGGTACACATTACAAATGAACGGATTCTAGCCTAGACTCCAGCAAATGTGGACTGCTGCAAGTATAGAAAATGAAGAAACAAGTCAAGGACCTGATTCCTTGTGTTTCCCTGATAGCAGTACGAAAGTCAACTGTGCACAACTGGAAGGTGACTACCACAGAAACCCAAAGATGTAGATTGGATTACAGCCATGCAAGATGAGTTGCATTAATTTGAAAGGAACAATGTCTGACACCTGGTACCTAGACCCTCGGATCGAACCATTATAGGAACCAGGTGGGTATTCAGGAACAAGCTTGATGAACATGGAAACACCACAAGGAACAAGGCCAGACTAGTGGTTCAAGGTTACAATCAGGAGGAAGGGATTGATTATGATGAAATGTTTGCTCCGGTCGCTCACATGGAAGCTATTAGAATTCTAATCGCTTTTGCATCTCATATGGTATTCACTTTTTTCCAAATGGATGTCAAAAGTGCATTTCTGAATGGACTTCTTAAGGAAGAAGTCTATGTGAAGCAATCTCTAGGGTTTGAATGTCATGAACGCCCTGAATATGTGTTTAAACTGGACAAAGCATTGCATGGGTTGAAGCAGGCTCATCGAGCTTGGTATCAACCTTTCTCTTAGAAAATAGCTTTAAAAGAGGGAAAATTGACAACACCTTGTTCCTAAAGAAACAGGGAATGAACCTGCTCATTGTTCAGGTCTATGTTGATGATATTATTTTTGGGGCAACAGCTGATTCCCTATATGAAGAATTTGCAAAACTCATGGGAAGTGAGTTTTAAATGAGCATGATGGGGGAGCTGAGTTTCTTCTTGGGTCTTCAAGTGAAACAGTCCACACATGGTACATTCATTTGTTAGCAGAAATACATCAAGGAGCTCTTGAAGAGGTTTGATAAGGAAGCATAAAAAATGATAGACACTCCCATTGCAACTGCTACTCGACTAGACATGGATGAAACTGGATATCATGTGAATAAAACTATGTATAAAGGCATTATTGGGTCTCTTCTCTATCTCACCGCATCAGACCTGATATTGTGTTCAGTGTTGGGCTATGTGCAATGTTTCAATCAAATCTCAAGGAATCTCATTTGAAGGCTGCCAAAAGAATTTTGAGATACCTTAAGGGTACACAGGAACTGGTCCTGTATTACGCCTTAGGTGACAGTTTTAATCTCATTGGATATCCTGATGCTGATTATGCAAGTTATCTTGTGGACATGAAAAGCACTTCTGGAATGACTCACTTTCTAGGTCTTACTCTTGGGGCACAAGGAAGCAAAATTCAGTGGCTCTTTCAACAGCTGAAGTAGAATATGTAGCTGCAGCATCCTATTGTGCTCAACTCCTATGGATTAAGCAGCAACTGGAGGATTTTGGGGTGTTTACTGAGAGTGTGCCTCTTCTATGTGATAACACTAGTGCACTTAACATGGCTAAGAATCCAGTTCAACACAAAAGATGTGAGACATCATTTTCATAGGGACAATGTGGAGAAAGGGTTGATCTGCATGAAGTTCTGCAGCACAGAAGACCAAATTGCAGATATCTTCACCAAAGCATTGAGTAGGGAATATTTTGAAAGAAACAGGGTGAAACTGGGGCTTTTGAAGCCCAATTGAGCACCTGATTCCTCGTCAATTGGCTATGAAAATTACCTTCAGGTAAAACTAGCTAAAGTGTTTTCTGGCCAAGTCTAACTCACTTCAATACCATTGCAAGTAAACACGCATGATGAGTATAGAAGCTGTAGATGCAGTGCATGGATGATAAAAGAGGGTTGATATTTTCAAAAAATCGGCCAAGAACCTGGTTCTTGTACCAAATGTTAGTAGTTTTGTGCATTCTTTAATACACGTCTTGAAAAGGTACAAATATCAACTTTCATGTCATCCACCTTTTTAGACCCTGTTGTATCACTAATTGATCTGTATTTATCTTTTACTTGATGTAGTTGATTTATTCTGTTGTACGAATTGCTATTATAATTAATCAACGGAAGTACAGCGTAACATCATCATTTTCCCTTCATGTTGTTTTCTTTTCTAGTCAATATTTCCTTCTTGAAATGACATTGCTTAACTATATTCCTCCTGAAAAACCAATGCATGCAACTAATCAGACGCAACACCTAAACTCAATATTTCTGAACTAACAACCGCATTGTCCTCCTCTATTTCTTCTTCTGCTAACCTTCTTCTATTTATAATAACTCGCGCCAAGCTGATTTTCATAAAAAGTATCTCTCAAGCCCCGCTAAAATTGAGCAACACCAATTATCATTCGTAGAATTATCATGTCATTACCTCCGCCAAGATCATCTCATTTGAGGTGAAATTGTTGCTTTCTCTGCTGACATTACAGTACTCCATTTTATTGAAATATCTTTGGTAACAACTTGCGATCTACCACTAATTAGCCATAATGTGGACGTCTCATGAACCAGCTAAGAGAAGTCTCTCTATTTTTGATTATCTACATAGATCAAGCAAATAATTTTATGCTCTACCCATTGGTTTTATTGGGGTACGGTACAGATTTCTACAAATGAAGTTTTTCTTCATGGATTTTCATTAATTCGAGTATCATATTTTCACCTCTGCCTTGCGTGCCCATGAGACTCCTATCACATTTGAAGAGCTACTTTGGTCTTTGAGCAAACATTTGTCTAATGCCTCAAATGTCGCCACTTCTATCACAACCACCTTTTTTTTGCCGAACTTGCTATAAATTGACACTCCAATTGCAATTCTACCTCTCCAAATCGCAAGCCCGAATATGGTAAGAAATTGTTCTTGAGTGACCTGCCAACTTTGCCACAACCCAAGGCCATCACGTTTAGCATTTCCATAAGATACTTGCTCTTGAATACTGTTATAGATACAAATTCTGGTGAAAATTGTAACAGTTCTACTTGTACACTTTTCTCCAATTTTGCTTAGCTGAAAATAATTATGCAAACTAATTAGTTGACTCGCGCGCATTCCACCTTGTTATAACAGAGGATCTGCAAAATATTTCCCTTCATTTTAGCTATGTTAGAAGCGACAAAGTAATACTTGGTAATTGAAATAATCACAAAATTACACTCAAAGATGAAGCACTTGGAGTATAATAGATTGATTTGCTATCACGTTCTAACTTGTACTGAAATTTTACCTGGTCATATTGATTCATTCTCTTGTAGAACACGCCATGTTTTGCATTCATGTGTATGATATAGACTCTAGCTAGGGACATGGCTTGGTGCATGTAAGATTTTTCTACGTATTGGTTACATTAGTTCTTGGTGCCTCAGTTTGGAAATTTGGTCCATAAGTAAGGATTCCTATTCTATTTTGTGTTAATTTGAGTGCCCTCCTATTAGTAAACACCTTGGTCCTTTATCCTATTATCTGTGCTTAAAGAACAAACAATTTAATATGGAAAATCACCCAGCTCAAAGGTGCATAAACTACGACCTACCACGTAGGATTTAACTTCAACTTCACCATAATAAATGAGCCAAATATGCATATTACAACTTATGTAACCTAATACACCTCCACACTTTAACTACTATTTATTTTATGAAACTACAAGTTACTCTAACATGCAAACTCACACAATAATTCAACAACATTGTTTGAATAAAACATGAATACAACTCAATTCCCTAATACACATGAACTAGACTGACTCAAGTGGAAAATAAACTTACTCTACGAATAGTTTTGATTGGCAACTTCAAGTGTATTGTGAACCGGAAATGCTATGCTTCGTGTACTCAGTAGATGTGTAAAAAGGATAGTCATGAACAGTCGTTGGACAAAGTATTTAAGTCGTCAAAGCTCCGAGATCTTTGGAATTCTAGGCACAATCAAACTTTAATCCATATACAAGTCCTGAGATCATAAGGACTTCTCAAGTTTCGTGATTCCTATCTACAGATATCTTTAGGCAACATCTATAATCGCATCAAGAATAACTTTCAAAAATATCGGATTGTAGTAACTTTTGCAGAAAGAGTTACTGCCTTGTAAGGAGCCTTTTGGGTTCACTGTGAAAACCTGGTTCTTAGCACATATTCATTGCACACACTTGTTAATTATCAAAACATATAACTCAACAAATATCCCCTTTTGATGATGACAAACCTTGTGCTTATGAACAAGGAGAGACATCAAGCATCAATTACTAGTAAGACAACGTGAAATAACAAATGACTAACAAATGAACCTCTCCCCACATAACATGTTGACCTAAAGCGATTCGAATAGCACCAAAATGGATATGGGTAAAATTATGATTTTTTTATTGTTTGAGAAAATCATCTGGGATTTGAAGGGTGATGAATTGTTCCTCTTTAGTTGCAAGAATAGGATGCTGGTCAAGTCTTGAGGCAACAACATATTCCTTCATGACTTTTGGTCTGTGTTGGACTAAGGATCGAATTTGGGACCACGGTGCAAATGATTTTTTGGCAAATGTTGAGTAAGGGTTTATGAGGGGTAATTCGGTAGAGGTTACTTTTTGTTCATTGGATAGGATATCTACTTCATATAGTTAGTAATATTGTTTGGACAAGGTTTTATATAGAGCATGAGAGATATTCATTTTTGCGAGGGAAGAGAATGATGGAAATGACTCAGATATATTTAATAAATTGTTCTATCTTCCGAAATGATGGACTGACTCTAATACCACAGTGATAGAACAAAGTAAGAGAGTGCAAAGAAAGGAAACTCAACTATGGATAGCTATGAGATAAACTTAGCAACTACACATAATGCAAGATTCACAGCCACGGGGCTACATATCAAACATAAGAGAAATCATGAAAAAATGAATTATTGTGATGATATTTAGCCACGTGAGAAGCATATGAATACAATAAGAATATGCATTAGATAGTGCCAATTTAAGCCAAAGGCCATGATCAAACAAGAATTAAAACAAAATAGTTCAAACATCCCCGCATACTAATCAGAAATTAGACACAAAAAGAAGGACGGGACACCTCTAGGAACACTAGACTTAAGCAACTGACACTGAGAAAAGAACCAAGTTCAGGGGTGAGAGGTAGACGAGGTTAAAGGCCTTCACAAGAGTTGTAATTTGCTGAGCAAGAGCTTTGTCCTTCCTCAACTCTTCCCTGAGCTGCTTGGATTCCTTCCTTAGTTCATCATTATCTTCCTTGAGTTTTTCATTCTCTTCAAAGGCCAACTCCAACCTTTTGAAAGGTTCAGCAGTCTTGCTATTTCCATGCAAAATGGTAGCACCAGTTGGACCCCTAGCCTTGATCTAACCATAACCACACTGTCTGAGTATGACTGCATCCAGTACATTATTGTGATTTTCAAATGTTAACTCGGGTAAGGACATATTAAGCTTGTCAAACAACTCAGTCAACACGAAACCATAGGGCATAGCATGCCTAGGTTTGACGTGTCAGCAAATTTTGCCATATGTTGAATCATCAAAATAGGAAAGATTGATGGCCTTCCTATTATCCACTAGTCCATCATATCCATGTCAAGAAAAGTGTCCTCATGCCTCCTCTCAGACCTTTGCAGAATACAAGAATTCACGAAGTGAAACAGTAACTTGGGAAATGGTATCATCTGTCTTGTACACCTTTTGAGGGCAATCCAACTCAAAATTATGGGAATATTTTTGGTGATCATAACCCGTGTATCCACATCATTGTCGATTGTTTCCTACTTATTCTTTAGATAAATACCAAAACCCAAGGAAGGTATATTCAGCAGCAATTCCAGTGCCCCAGCATTAAATTCTAGCTCAAAATCTCTAACAGAGATCTTCATCACTTTACCATCAAAATGAAAGTTGGCATAGAACTCAAATACTATAGGTGCACACACAGGGGGAAAGGGCTTCAAAAAATGTGTTCACACCCTTGCATGTCAAGCTTCTCTACCAACTGAGCCATTCTTTTTCATCAGTGTTGCCTAAGATCTTCCCAATCAAAACCTTTCAACTCTTGAACTCTACCATCCTATCAACTACTTTTAACTCAGCAATTTTCTTCTTCCCTCTGATCTTCTTCTGAGATGTAGAAGTTGTTGCTTTGACAAGTTTGCAGTAGTTCTTTTAACTGATAATTTCTTTCCCTAAGGGAAAAAATATGTTCTTCTTCAACATCTAGTTCAACAACAGTCTTAGCAACTACAACTGATTTCTTTGTCCTTTTATTACTTCTAGCTTCCATAATCAGTTGCTCATCCATGACTTTTCTTTTAATCCTGGTAAGGTGATTTCTAGTAAGAGGAACCACAACCATTTTTTCCCTGTGAAGCCACTTTTGCAGATT